TGTCGTTGGTCGTTGGTCGTTGGTCGTTGGTCGTCTGTCGTTGGTCGTTGGTCGTTTGTCGTTGGTCGTTGGTCGTTGGTCGTTGGTCGTTGGTCGTTGGTCGTTTGTCGTTGGTCGTTGGTCGTTTGTCGTTGGTCGTTGGTCGTTGGTCGTTGGTCGTTGGTCGTTGGTCGTTTGTCGTTGGTCGTTGGTCGTTGGTCGTTGGTCGTTGGTCGTTTGTCGTTGGTCGTTGGTGGTTTGTCTTTGGTCGTTGGTCGTTGGTCGTTGGTCGTTGGTCGTTGGTCGTTGGTCGTTGGTCGTTGGTCGTTGGTCGTTGGTTGTTTGTCGTTGGTCGTTGGTTGTTGGTTGTTTGTCGTTTGTCGTTTGTCGTTGGTCGTTGGTCGTTGGTCGTTGGTCGTTGGTCGTTTGTCGTTTGTCGTTGTGTTTTTTGGAAGGGGGTTGGGGGTTGCGGGAGGTTCTCTCTGAGGGCGGGCTTGCGAGGTGGGCCAGGCCCGAGAGCCGGCCAGCATCGCGTGGTGCCGCAGCAGGGCCAAGGTGCAAGGCGCAGCCTCGTTGCAGGCGAGGGGGCCAACCCGTTTTTTTTCTCTTTTTTTCCCTGTTTTTACCTTCTTCTTTTTTTTGGCAGGCTTTCAGGGTTGGTGTTTGGGTTGATGATTGGGTATGTTTTTCTTAGAGGCTACCCATGTGGGGATTGCTTTGAAAGGAAATCAAAAGGAACCCGCACGTCTTTCTGAGTGTTCTGTATAAAGCTTGTTGGTGGTCAGTAGGGGATGACCTTGCGGGTGTTGGGAATGAGCTGATTGAAAGGACACCATAGGGATTCTTATAGGGGTCATTCCAGGTCTTTCCCTGCCTGTCGAACCAGCGAGTCTCTTTCTCTACTGTGGATGGACGAGACGAAATCCTGCACCACTTTGAAAGCAAGGGAAGCCATTGTTTGTTGGTATTTACAGGGGAATCATTCATTCCAGGGTTTCTTAGGTGGTGCGAAATGGATTTTGTCCATCCACAGTATCTCTATGTTCGTGTTAGTGTTTCTCACTTGTCTCATGGAGAGATCAGCTTCTCTTCAGGACAATCTGCTCTTTGATTCAACCACCTTTCAGCGTGCCAAGGAATTTTGAGCTTACTTCGAAGCTGAGCAACGCAAGTCCATCTCCACCTCTGAGAGGCCAATCTTTGATTCAACCACCTCTCAGTGACAAACCACCTTTGAAGCCAGCATTCCGAGTTTTGTGGCTTAATTTAGTTTGTTTTGAAGCTGAGGTTCGAACAGTCAAAGTAAAGCCTTCCCCCAAATGCTAAACGCCCCTTCCCCCCCTGCAACACTAAACAGGTTTTGGGGGACTGTTTAGCATTAGGGAGAAGGGATTCAAGGTTTTTATTCCGAATGGCCTCAGTTTCACTTCGATGTTTGGTTTTCGAAAATTCGAAAGAGGCCACAGCTGCAGCCGCCGCGACGCGGAGCTTCGCGCCGCAGGGGCCGTCGTGGCTTGGCGGAAGGGCGTGTCTTCTTGTGAGGAACCCCCACTTTTGGGGTTGGTTCAACGGGAAACCAAAAGGAAACCAACTGCTTGTTGGGGGTTCACCATTTTGAGGCAAACCCAAGCCAACCAGGGATTAATCCTAGGTTCCCCAAAGGTTTGCAATAGTGGGGCCATTTTGCACTGGCTGGTTTTCTCTTGTATCCCTACCCATCCAACGGAGGGTTGTCGAGACAAATCCAGACCACGCCCAGCCGCCGAGCATGTGTGAACTTGTGTTGTACCCAAAACGTAGAGAATCTTCCACCTATGTATTGTTGGTACTGTCCCCGTACACCTCTAGTTGCCTGCCCCCTGATGAAACACCTCCCCAACATGGGTGTCCTGGTGTCAGAGAAGTGCGCATGCTTGTTCCTCCCCACTGGAGCCTCAGGAACCTGTCGTGAAGGCTTGGCACTTCGGAACATCTGGATGAAGCGCTGCTGCGCTTACCTGCGCCGCAGGCCGGAGCGTGGGAGGGAAGGACAGGTTGGGAGGGCAGAATGGGCAAGAAGGGTCCAAAATCAGAGTCTCTACCATGGTTTTGCTGCAACAACCAGCAAACAGGTGTACCCTCAACAGAAGGATCCACTCGCACGGGCTGCATATGGGTCCGAAACGAATCCACCAGGAACTGTACCGCAGGTTTTCGTCTTTCCATGCACCAGGCTTGGCAACCATTTTGAGCTTACCCAAAATGTTTGACCACCACAGCCATGCTCAACAAGAAGACCCCCCGAGCCATCTGGCTGGGCGCCAATGCAGGGCTTCTTGGATACTTGTTTTCGCCAGGCGCAGAAACGGCTGGTAAAAGATAGGAGGAAGGCCATCTCTTCACCACACACTTGTCTCTCCCGATTTTACCTCGGAAAACCGCGTCTCCTTGTTTTTTTTTGGGCTGAATGGGGTACAAGCACCCCTGAATCCAGGGCTCCTTGTTCTTTTTTTCTCCCCAGGCGCAGCAGCTCATGGCCGAGCTCGATGCCCAGAGCGCCGCCAACGCCGCACGGAGCTCCGCGGCGCCGGGCGCCTATGGCTCGACGCCCACGGAGGCAGTCGCTGGCTTCGTGGCGCCTCGGTGTTGCTGTGGTGGGTCTGTCCTTGCTTTTTGGGACCCAAGAATCTCACCCCCAAAAAAGGAAAGAAAGAGAAGAATCAATTGTGTAGTTTGAAGGGAATGTCTCTGTCTAGCTACTATGTACCTGCCCATGAACCTATTATTTTGTCTTACTCATCCATGCATCTATTTGTTTGTCTATCTCTCTCTCTCTCTCTATCTATCTATCTATCTATCATTCTTTCTGCCTGTCTGTCTATCTATCGACATTCCTATGTTTGCTCTTTGATTGTGACAATCTTTATGCTTGCCCAAAAACAACCGATTGTACGACACGGGCTGTGCCAAACGCATCAAAACGACCACCCCGGAAACGCAATTCACAAGGGCACGGCGCTGCAAACGCGCTATCTTCCCAAACACTGCGCCTGCGCAGCAAACGCCGTGCGATGTCGTAAAAGCCGCGTTTCACGCACGGGCGCTCTGAAAACAATGTGTTTGCAAGTCATACAGCACGGCTGCTTTTGCCACCTGCGGGCTTAGCAAACGCTTGACCGCCCGCGAGCACACCGACGCATCTGACGAACACACTCTGGCTGATCTGCAGACTTGTCTAAGACGGGAACCCTTCTGCTACGCATTCGAGAAAGGACATGTAATTACATTGTCATGATATTTGGGTCTGTTTTTCTTAGAGGGTACCCTTTTGGGGGTTGGCTTAGTTGAAAATCAAAAGGAAACCGCACATCTTTTTGAGGGTCCCGTAAAACGTGCTGGTGCTCAGTAGGGAATGACCTGCCTGGTGTTGATGGGGATTCCCTTAAAGGAACCCGCCAGGGATTCTTTATGGGGGGTCATTCAATTAAACCAGCCCCACAATGATTTCCCGTATTTTGTTGGCACCCACTTCGACCCCAGATATCTGGATCTCCCTCCATCCAAATTGAAAGAAACGCAAATGGGAACAAACCTAGGCATTCCCTCTAGGACACCAGCTCGGGGATGTGTTTTTCTTTTTCTTCTTTTTTTCTCTGGGACAACTCATTTCTCACATCACCAAAATTGATAGAACCGCAATTGGGAACACACCTAGAGATTTCCTTCTAAGCCAGCTCGTTAGCTCATTTCTCATTTGCATCTCGCGCGCTTCGGCAAAGAAAGGCCCTCAACCCGCGCCTCGATCGCCGAGGTGCCTCGCGTGGAAGAGTCTGCGCCGCAGGGCCCGTCCAACGCCGCGCGGCCGCCCGGCGCGCCCGGCACCCACCGCCAGCCGGCGCTGGACGCCGCTGGCGCCGCGGCGGTGAAGGCGGCGCCCACGCCCCAAGGACCGGCGGTCCACATCGAAGTCGTCGAAGGCGTGGCTTGAGATACCCGCAAGTGGCGGAGTTTCGGTTTGGTTTCCCTTTAGAGCCGCTCCAAAAAGGATGTGCTCAAGAGAAAAGACACACAAAATTGGTGCACAGTGGAGCAACCATGTCGAAATGCGCGGGGCCATGCGTCAAGATGCGGATTTGCACATTGCAGGACTGGCAAACGTCGCTTGAGCCCCTGCCACAGCCAGTGAGCGCAAGGCGGATCTTGTCGGATCTGCATCGAGTGATCTGATTGACAGCTGACAAGTTGTTCGAAGCTTGCCACCTGTTGCTTACAAGTCCGCGACCGCCGAGGGTTCGCAATCAACTTGACCAAATTGCTTCGCGGGAGGGGTGAGGATACGGGCGGGGTTCGAAACCGCAGGCGCTGGTCTCTGATTTCACCGCGTCCTCGGTGCCCAGATCCTCCCCGAACCTACGGGAGCCAGCCAGCACGGCACGGGCCCCTGCGACCGCCCAGACCGTCCACGCGCCGCTGGCGCCACTCGGCGGTTGCGAGGGTTTGAGGGTTTGAGGGTCATGTTTCGCTGGGGATGTTTCCTGAGTTTCGGGCCGTTGCGCGAAAAAGGGACGCACGGGTTTTGTCTTCGCTGCGGATTTCATGAGTTTCGGGCCTTTGCGAACACAAAGCGCGCATTTGTTTTCTGTTTTTTCTTTCTCCCCGGCACGTTTTGGATCGAAGTGAGGAGCGCTGCAGAGACTTCCGCCGCGTCCCAGTTGACCGGGGAGCTTCAACTTTGCGGTGACGGCCCGTCAGAGGCGTGTCTTGGAATGTGCCTAAAGTCTCGGGAGTCAACATAAAACCGAGATGGCTGTGGGTCAAAACCATTTTGGGATCCCATTTTGGTTGGTAGGTGAATTTACCACCCAATTTTGAACATATTTTAGTGGGGATTGGGATGTTCACTGGGGGTACGATTTGGGTTTTGACCCATGGCCATGCGTTTGTAAAGAATGCAATTTCTGTTTTGGGATCCAAGACTGGAGACATGGTTGATTCCACAAGCCACTCTGGACTCGTGATTCTCGCAGGCCTGTCCGGCGGAGATGGTTGTTGCCTTGGCAGCAGCGCTGCGGGACTTGGGCGGGTGGCTGGACGGAGACAGGAGCTATCGTGAACACTCAGTTGTGCAGTGGCACCGATGCTGTTTCTCTTTCTTTTTTTTGCGTGGCTGCCCCACTAAAAATGGAAACTTCCCCAAAAAGGGTTCCCGATTTTGTTGTTCCAGGGTCACTGAACAGTTGAGAAACGTGCTCACTTCGTGTTCGAGAAAGCTTGCTTGTGCCCGTGTCCTTGTGGCATTCAGGCCAAGTCAGACATGTGCTCCTGTGAAGACACATTTGAGACTTTCGGCGCATGAGGATTGCAACAAATGGGAGAGGTGGAAGTAAGCTTTGAGCCAGCACACAAGGAACCAAGCAAGTCCAAGCCCAACGGTCGCTTAGTCCTACTAGCCACGAGCTAGTGAGTTCCTGTTGAACGAGATCTGAGGCATTTGGAGGTCAGAGAGCCTTTGGAGCGGACAGCAGCGCGGCTGGATGCTTGCAGGACCGATCCCTGGACTTTTTTTTTTTTTTTTTATAACAGTGAAAGATTCGCTTTGCAACCAACAGGTTAAAAGGAAGACTATTCTTAAGCAAATGAAAGTAACGGGGTTTCGTAAAAGCAAGCCGGACCCGAAGGACTAGCCTTGGCCCAGTGCCCGCTCAAGCTGACATTCTTGATGATGGAGTGCCGCAAGTGTGCCTGCCTTGACCAAGATTCGCAGAGGCAACGCTTTTCCAAAGGAAATCGATCCAGGCTCGCCACGCAACCTGGGCTGTGTATCGTTTACAAGCCCAGCGGCTGGGTGCCGACCTCGGGAAGTCGTCTTTCAACTTGGCCGCGCTGCCAGGCGGACGTCAGGGCTAGAACCAACATGATGCCTGAGGTGGTGAACGTGAACAGTGACACTGCTGCTGGCCTAGGCATGGGGCAGCAAGTGGATGGTGCAGTCTCTTCCACTCGGCCAAGACACACCCTTTTGTGTGTGTGTTTTTTCTACGGTTGGTCGCCCCCAAATGGCTTTCCTCTTGGTTTCCTTCAAAACCAAACAACGATATGGGTGCCCCACACTGCCAGCAACACTGCGCTTTCACCCCGCTGGCAAGGCGGCGAAGATACGTGGGAAGGCGACCAGGCTCTCCCGGGTAGCAGCAGCATGAACTGCGCAGTGCAAGTGGCGCTGGTTAGCTAACCATTGCCAAGTGAGTCGAAAAAAAAAAAAAAACCCAAAAAAAAAACCGTTGTATGTGTCAATGTAAGGCATGATCCCAGGTCTTTTGGACCTATCAAATTAGCTGCACCGCCGCTTGTAATTTGAATGGCAGGAGTGTGTTGCAGGAGCGGCCGCGCAAGTCAATCATGGGGCCGCGCAAGTAAAGCGCAAGTGAAGCGCAAGTGACGCAGTGATTCATCATCATCATCATCATCATCATCATCATCATCATCATCATCATCATCATCATCATCATCATCATCATCATCATCATCATCATCCGCATGGTCGAAAGAATCCGGAAGATTGCTAAATTTTCGCGCAAGTCGCGCGCAAGTCGCGCGCAAGTCGCGCGCAAGTCGCGCGCAAGTCGTATGCCTTGGATCAGGAGTGGCCCATTTCTGTAGTTTGCATTTTCTTTGTTTCTGCAGATCCCAGCAATGAGTTGCAGCAGCCAGCAGCAGCAGCCAGCAGCAGCAGCCGCAGCAGCAGCAGCCAGCAGCAGCCGCAGCAGCCAGCAGCAGCAGCAGCAGCAGCCAGCAGAGCCCGCAGCCAGCAGCAGCAGCAGCAGCCAGCAGCAGCAGCAGCAGCAGCAGCCAGCAGCAGCAGCCGCAGCAGCAGCCAGCAGCAGCCAGCAGCAGCAGCAGCAGCCAGCAGCAGCAGCCAGCAACAATTTGCAGCGGTGTACACACCTGAGACCTCATACACTTAAGGGGCATGTTTTGGGGGACCTCACTCTTATGAAGACCGCCGCTTGGATTTGCAATGAACACATCCTGGGATAAGAGTTTTAATACGTTTTTTTTTTAAGTGAAGGAGAGTCCGGCAGACATGCAGAGTCCTCCAACTTTGCCTTTCTTTACTTGACCTTCACAAAATTCGGTTCCCACCCCCGCCCCAGACCCCCCTTCACCCCCCCCCTCCTCCCTTCCCCCCCCCCATCTCCAACCCCGTCCCCTCCGCCCCTCAAGCCATCTCCCATCCCCAAGACGCCAGGCCGCGCCCAAGCTCACTTCGTGGCTGTCGTCCTTGGCGCCCTGGCGCCGGCCTCGGCGTCGAAATTCCGCTTTCTTCGCCGCTGGAGCCCGAGACGTCGTTTCTGGGCGCCAAGACGAGCCGGCATGCGACCCAGCCATCCGGTTCCTGAAGTATTTGTTTTGGCGGTGTGTAGTTGGGCAGAGTTTCACGTGGCTTCTTTTTCTTAAAAAAGAAAACAAATAAATTTATAAATATATATATATATATATATATATGGTTTTTGGAGTCTCTTTCTTTGGTTGGTTGCGGCGGTTGGGGGCTCTCATTCGCCCACCCGTGAGCTTCCGTTCCGCCGGTGGCACCACTGCCGCAGGTCGCCCATCTCCGGGGAGGCCTCCGCTCAGCACGGCATCCTGCACCGCCTGGACGGGGCGAGTGGATTCGATGCACGTCGGGGGGGGGGGGGTTGACAGGAAGCCGAAAGGAAGCGCCCCCCCCGGTATTTTTGGGGTTTTGGCACCCTACCAAAAAGGCGCTTCGACGGGGATGCCCTACTTTGCCCTAGAAAATAGGCCGGTTCACCTTCTAATTGTTCTTTTTCTCTTTTTGTTTGTTGGGTTTCCGGCAAAAAGGCGAGCCACCCACATGGTGCTATGCAAGGCAGCGTGATACAAAGGCGTGCAGAGCTTCGCCCTCGGAGGACCTGGAGACCTCCGGCCCGCTGCTTTGCGCCACGAGCTACGGGGGCTACATCGCGGCCTGGGCCTCAAGTCCTTGGGAGGCCTCAAAGGCGAAGTGGGTCAATGGATCAAGAGGTCCGTGACACCCTCCCAACCAACAGGGAAGCGCAGAAACAACTTTTTTTTTTAAAAGAGGAAAGTCGCCTTTCTGCAGGGGTCTGTGCACTTCCATGTTAGTTGGTGGGAGGGTGCATGGGATGACCACTAGGCAAAACCCCCTAAAAAAGATGATATTTCGAAAAGTGACCCGTGGTTGTTGGGGGGCCCAACTGAAGGCCCTGAGCGAGCTGCTTGTGGAAAACTTTGTGTTTTCAGACCCTTGCTTCAGAAGAAACAGGCTCAGGTCCCATCCACCTTGCATTGGCGTTCAGCTCATTCCGACAAAATGGGCGTGCAAGATCTCAGGCCTTGCTGCAGTTCGCTTTGCGCCGGGTGTCGAAGGCCTTCCGCGCAACGCGTCCCAAGCGGCGCACGAGACTTGCGGTCCCAGTCGAACATCCCGAACTCGCAGCCGCGCAGGAATATGTGTGCCTCTGCAAGGGCTGGTTTCCAAGAGAGGCGGGCGACGGCAGTGCTGGGCAGAGCGGGATGTTCATTGCAGATGCGCAGGCGCAGTGCCTGGATACTCCGCTGCTCTATGGCGTGCACCAAGCGCTCTCTCCAGGCGAAGCATAGCCTTCGCGAAACGAAGAATTCGATGCCGTTACCGTCGAACGGTTACGGTCAAGCGCCGTGTGATTTCCTTGTGTAAGGCGAATCTACTCCCGGCTTGAGGAAGGCGGAGACGCAGGCTGTCAAGAGAGAGTTGCGAAGTTCGCGCCAGCTTCTACATGTGTGCACATGTGGGTAATTACATAGGCACGTCAACGCGCACCTGCATGTGCGGGTGCGGATGCGAGTGGGGAGTGAGTGTGCGTGTGAATGTGCGTATGTGTTTGTTTGTTTTGTTTGCTTTGTTTGTTTGTTTGTTTTTGCCATTTGTTTGTTTGTTTGTTTGTTTGTTTGGTTGGTTGGTTTGTTTGGTTTGTTTTTTTTGTTTGTTTGTTTGTTGGTTTGTTTTTGCTTTTGTTTGTTTGTTTGTTTGTTTTTTTTTTTTTTTTGTTTGTTTGTTTGTTGGTTTGTTTTTGCTTTTGTTTGTTTGTTTGTTTGTTTGTTTGTTTGTTTGTTTGTTGGTTTGTTTTTGCTTTTTTTGTTTGTTTGTTTGTTTGTTTGTTTGTTTGTTTCTGTTGTTGGTTTGTTGGCCAATTCGCGTGAATCCTCCAGGTTGATTACAGAACATGCGCTGACTTGCAGGGGTCTTTGCTCCTTTGCAGTTGCGTGTTTTGTAGTAGTTACGGCGCTGCCAAGCCGGGGTTGACGTTGCTCACACCTGTCGCATATGATGCGAAGGGATGCAGGTTCCACGATTGTCACAGGAACAAGCGAAAGGTATCATGCTAAATTCATATTTGAAAGAGCCTCAGATTGGCCAACCTTGCACACGGCTCTGTAAAAGATACATTTTGCCCATTCGAAATATGGCATTTTCAACCAAAATAAAGGGACACCACCATTGACAAGGCAATGTTCAGGTGTATAATGTAAGGATGTTGCAAGTGTTTGCTTCCGCCAGGTGATTTCCGTGGGTCACTTTCTGGATCCATCCAATGGCCCCGTCAGCCTGGTTGAGGTGAGCCTCCACACTGGAAGGCATGGTTCGACGTTTTGCGCTTTGCGCTTGGCATTTTTCTAGGGGTTCATTCCAACCATGGCAAACCACCCCAAATGAAACCATGGGAAACCACGTGTTTTCTTTTGGTATTTACAGGGGGTATTTACATGGGTTGATTCCTTGTCCATTCTTTTCAACCATCGGTCTTTTTTTCAAAAACCGATCGCTGTTTCCCCAGGGTTTTGGGTGTATTTTTTCAGAAATAAGGATGCCTGGAAAGAATGGATATGGATGGTACCCCCAGAATTTTTCGCGTCGCGAGAAATGCGAAGGAGGCACCAGATCCGAGCACATCTCCGCTACGAGGGGCATCCCCTGGTTGGCCGGAGCGCGCAGCCAGAGAGCAGACGTCAGAGACAG